CTATCCTATCCTATCCTATCCTATCCTATCCTATTCTATTCTATTTTATTCCATTTCATTTCATTTCATTTGTAGTTTTATTCATAATTTGGTGGGTTTGTTGGTGAGAATTGTGATTTGATATTTATTTTCAGGTATCTGAGGGACAAAGCCTTCACACCATTTCAGCTGTTTACCCAACTACATGCAGTATGGCACCTCTTAGCAGGAATTGGCTCCTATTATCACATTTTATTTAGGTAAAAATTAAAATAAGAGCAAAATACATTGCATCTGGAATTTTTAAACATCATCTTCAGACACTTGTAAATATTCAAGTATTAATCCTTAATCACATTGTCAGCATATGAAATTAATTCTTTTATTTTAGCCTTGATCTTCGCATGAGATGCAAAAGAAAATCACCAAAACTCATGGTATGTAGGCCTGAAAATTCAAAGTTAATACAATATAGATGTAAACTTGCATGTAAGCCATTTCCTGTTTCCTCTGCCCATTCTTTTATTTCCTCCCCTCCCTCCCTACTCTCTTACTCTCTCTCCTGCCTCCCTCACACCCTCTTATCCTCCCTGCCTGTATCTCTACCCTCTTACCTTCCCTTCATCTCTCCTCTCCTCTTATCCTCCCTGCCCCTCTCCCTCCCTCTTCCTCTCCCTGCTTGTATCACTATCCTCTTACCCTCCTACCCTGCCCCTCTCCTCTCCTCTTATCCTCCCTTCCTCCCTGCCCCTCTTCCTGACTCTCTCCCTCCCTCTTCCCCTCCCTGCCTGTACCCCTATCCTCACCCTCCTGCCCTGCATCTCTCCTCTCCTCTTATCCTCCCTGCCTCTCTCCCTTCCTCCCTTTCTCCCTCCCCTTCTCTCACTTATTAATGCATCCACTTTAATTCCCATTTGTGCACTGAATATTTCTTTCAGCTTGTATGGGGATGGCTTCCTTACATTTACTCCTCTGAAAAGACAGTCAACAATAACAGTGAATGTAAGTCTGTCCCAGTGTCTCTCTACCAGATGGTCTATAGCTACTCAAGAAGCTGGTAAGAAGAGTAAAGGGTATGAGGCCTTTTTAAATGGGAGAGAAACTTGTGGATTCAGACTACTCCAATCTGGTTCTTCTTTTACTGAAAATCAACTAGACCCTTGTGCAGTAAAAGGCACACAAAATCAAGTTTAATGAAATATAGTGGTGTAGGCAGAATTAAGCAATTGTTAATATATATAACAGCATTATGTGGCTACTTAACTCTTCTTTCTAATTGGTGGCCAACAATCCTGATAATACCTCATGGCTTCTCGAGGCTTGTCAATTCATGTTATTGCCCCTCCTTACTTGCCTTGCCTTGCCCGGCAGGGTAGCAATTAAGATTCATTGGGTAGTAGAATATTTAGAGGTTAATTTGTTTAGGTGTGATGTTCTCTCTTCTAGACCATGTCCTGCATGTATGGGCTAAACTAAACTTCTCTTTATTACTGATAAACAATGAAATAATGCCTAAGGGAATGAAACGTGGTCTAAAAGAGGAATTGTGGTTGGGTTTGTAGTTTAAGTTTAGTGTGAATTTAGATGTGTGGAAATTAGAGATAATCATTTAGGCGTGGTATAGGGTGTGTAGTAAATCACTAGCACTGCACGATATTTTTCATAAAAAATTAAGATTAAATCTGGTGCTGAAACAAGCAAATCATCATTAACAGAACATTATCAGCTAGTTTACGCTTCATTATCACAAACTATGGTGGTAGACAGTTGTATCGTCTACGTATTTAAACATATAAGAGACAAGAAGGTGTTCAAACTTCATTCTGAAACTGAAAAATCAGTTCCCCTGTTTAATAGAACTCAGCATATCCAAACTAGGGTGAAATGAACAAATTTATAACAATAAGGTCCCATCCAGAGTTGGGATAAAGGATGCGAGGGCCTGGGGAAAGTAGGCTTATGACGTAGGACATTGTATTCTAAAAGCCAATCAAATAGGGAGATCAAACTAAGCAAGTTAAAAGTAACACGTGTTTTAGTATCTTTTGAAAAACCGCTTTACTTGTTGGTTTATCGTATCGGCATTATTTATGTGTGTTTAGGATATACTGTAGGCTTTACCAATATTTAGAATTAACGATACAATTGGGTGTATTTTATAAATAATGGTAATTGAACTGAGTGGAGTGCAATTTGGTCTGAAATCAAACGCGCGATTACAAAATCGCACGACCGCGTAGCGGGAGTGCGATTTGTAATTGCAAGTTTGATTTCAGACCAAAATTGTACGACACGAAGTTCAATTACCACTTTATTATATCCATTTTGAAATCTTTTTTGAAAAAGACGTTTTTTCAGTTAAACCGACATGACTTACAATCTAAAAGCAGTCGATTCAAACATGCTGCCAAGAGAACTTGTTTATACTGATCGAGCAATGATTCTCATTTTGAAAACCAACACTTTCAATCCAAAACTAAAATGAATTTATATCGGACCAAAAGGCATTACGTGTATTAAGAATCGTTTACTTACATTAAATAACAAGACAATTCTGCCCAAAAGGGTTGTAATGAACTGGCTGTTCTACATATTACAGCCAATGCTCACTGCTTGTATTTTTACGATTTCTGTTCAATATGTTTAGATCACACTTGTGCCGACAAAACAGCAAAAATCAAAGGTTGTTTAGTCCTTCGGTTGTCCTTAAGAAGTCACTTAGCTCAGCAAAAATCTTCTTCTTAAGAAAAACTTCTTTTAATGACTGTATTTTCGATGTGTTGTTATGCTTTACAGATTGAAAAGGAAACCACTTTCCACGATCAATCGCCAAGAAGTCACATTCAAAAGATGCCGATTGCATTTTCTCCCACTGCTTTTCGCTGTAATATCTTTAACTTACTTAAGCAGTTACTTTACAAAGATGCTTTTGACGATTTTAAGTGATCAGTTGGTCTTTTTAAGTCCTTTTTACGGCTTTTTAAGTCTTTTTTTAAGACTTTTGACGGTAAAATCGTTCTTCAGAAAAAATTATTTGAGCCGTGGCTCTTTTTTTTCGCAAGAAGCGGTGAGCTCAACACTAAGATGGATTCCTTGATATAATTGGCTAGAAAATGACATGTCTCTCTTGTGATTGGTTCATATCAGTTGATGTGCAAAATCGTGCAATTTATGCTGAAATCACTGCTGCAGGGAACCAATCAGATTGCAGGATTTGCTTGTGATTTCAAAATGGATGTATAAAATAGGTTATCAATTCTTAACTAACTGTGGAAGCATGAAAACCCAAGTTAACTAATAACATTTTTGTATGAGGAATAAAGGAATTTTTATATCTATATAAAAAACAGCTATAAATTTTTTTTTTCAGTTTTATAATTAAATGGCGTCAAATTCGTGTAGAAACGAAATATTTCGTTACCAGGCTACCCCGAGAAAAGGCTCATCTGGTTTGCTATTAGGGTTTCATGGTGAAGTTATCTTATTAAATTTTCAACAAATCTGTTCCAAATTCTTGATGCGACCATGAAGTGAAACGAAGAGAATCCAACATGGCTTCCGCGCGTAAAACAATCATTGGGATCCAACCTCTTCATTATGACGAGGCTTGATTATCTTTCGTCGTGGCCGCTGATAAGAATACATCTCCTTTTACTTTGTTTGTGATGTTTTCCTCTTTCCTTGGATTCATAGTTTAATTGTTTTTCTCTCGATAAAGAAAAAAGTTGTACACAAGGGAATGAATGATCCAAAAATGGAAAAACATGTCAACCAAAGTTAAAGTCTAATACACAAAAAAAAAATGTTTAATGTGCATTAAATTCAAGAAACTAAAACGTAGAACCTGATGAAGAAATAGAAAACGCGCGCGCGTGCTGTGTGCAGTTATAAAGCACGCGGGGTTGGCAGAACACGAGAGAAGTGTTGGGAAAAGGACGACTTTTATAAAATTTCAACAACCGTTATTTTGAATAGGAATGACGCAACTGAAAGTGCGCGAGCGTGCTGTGTACTTTCATAAAGCACGCTCTCCCAACCAATAGACCTAATCGGCTAATAGTTTCATTGTTCGTTATATTTTGGTTTCAGAGTTGAATTCGTAGAGACAAACGCTTCTATTCCCAGAAGGTTTGAATTGGGTGGTAACATACATAGCAACACGTTAGCCGATTAGGTCTATCAGAACGCTAAATTTATAACAGTTATTTTATAATAGTAGATAACTTTTGGAATAAATAATCTTTAAAAAATAGTGATCAGTAAGACTAACTGCATATAAAAGAGACGACGACGTCTCTTTATTATGAGGTTAAAATTGTATGCATGTATGCATTAACTGATGATGCACGATTAAACTTATGGCTGCAATGTAAGATTTAGTTTTCCTTTACTGTTTCGTTTCCGGGATTTGAATCCCTTTTGGTCTTCCAAGGGAGCTTTCCTTTCTCAAATGACTGTAATTTGAATATTCATTTTCTTGGATTACAATCAATCCCGCAAATTCTTAAAAGGTAATTTATTTTATGCCAAGACTTAAAATCGTGTACGCATGGCTAGTACACCAGTGGCGCATATGATGCATACCGCTGTTTTTTAAGACCACAGACTCATTTCCGACAGGCTTAGCCTCGTTTATAACTCAGCTATTCACAGATACCATTAAAAGTTCGGGGGATTTCAAAACCGTCTTGCTCTCAAGTTTATCTGCTTGAAGAATGACTTTCGAGATTTTTTCTTTTTGTTTTTGTTTTTATTGATTTAAAATAACCAGGACCATACTTCCAGACATCGAGTGCTGAACCGTCGTATGGACTTACGCCTATGCTGGAGATTTTGACCCAAACACCGCTATCCCGGAAGGAATTACAGACTGATCAGGAAGCTCGGCAAAAGCCTAAGGGAGAGGTTAGTCGGCCCCTAGACCATAGATGATTAACCCCTTGCTATGACCAACAGACCCAGTCAGTCACTTGTTTCGTCGATGGGTAATCACCCACTGTGACCCTTTACCATGTGGGATGCGATTTGAAAAACTACCCGAGATGCAAACTCGTGATATGATGTTATTTAGAGATTATGATTATTTAGAGACTTTAAGAGCGACTGTCCACTAATATCGAGCCAAATCAAGAATCGGCGGCAACAGTGAAAAAATCGATTTTCTTTATTTTTGGTCCAGAGTTAGGTATTAGTGAGTAAGTAAACGTGGTGGGTTTTATTTCTTCAAAAAAAATGTTATCGCTGAGAAAAATCGAAAAAACGGTCCGTCCG